GGAAGGGATGGCCGATCGCGCCTACTTCCGACGCTTGCGTGAGGCCGCCAGTCGAGAGGCCGCGGGCTTGCCGCGCACAGCCCCCGTCCAGCTGGGTCGGGATCGGCGCAAAACTCTGCGCGCCGTCCTGCACAACGCTGAGGTCTCGACGGGCATCGCCAACGCAGAACGTGCCGCGCGTGCTGGGGACGCACCCGCGTCGTCCACTGGCCGCTCCTTGGCCGAAGTGGAGGCTGAGGACCCGCGCGCCTTGGCAAGGCCCGCCGACGACCCTGCGTCCAGCTTCAGCCGTCGTGAGGGGCGCGCGGACCGCGCCCGCCTGGGCCCGCGGGATGAAGCGGTCGAGGACCAGCCCAACCGCGGTGGTCACGCGCCGCACTCCGCCTCGCGCACGGGCGCCGCGCGTACCAGGCGCGCCGCCAAGCAGCGGCGGGCTTCGATGGCGGCGCCCCCCGCCCCTGAGGGGGGGGCCGCCACGGCGCCTGGCCGCAGGGCGCGTCGCACTGCCAATGCGCGCCGCTGGGCAGGCGCGGCACGCCCCAGCTCCGCCGCGGGAGTGGGCTTCCCACCGCGGAGCCGCAGCCCTGCCCGCAGCCGTACGCGGTCTCCAAACCCGTACGGGACCGACCGCACCTCTCCCTCGGGGGGCTGCTCGTCGCCTCCCGGCGACGGCCCGATCTCGCCCGAGGAGCCGTCGGAGCCGCCTGCGGGGGAGGCATCGGAGGGCCCGCACACTCCTGACGGGTCCCCGCCCGCGAGCGTTCGCAGCCGCTCGAGAGCGGAGCCCGCGTGCGACGAGGACTCTCCGACGGAGCTCGAGGACGTCGTGCTGAGCGCCCTCGCAGACTCCTCGGTGGACCTCGAGCGCGTCGTGGCGGGCCTGAACCCCGAGGTCCTCCTCCGCCTGCAGGCGGCCTTCCCTCGCCGCTCGGGGGCCTCGCCGCCCGCCGCTCACGCCTCGGCTCGCAGCCGCTCTCGGGGCCGCGGCACGCGTGCAGGCTCCGAGACGCCGCGGCCCGTGCCCCCGGCGCCGCCGCCGCCCCCTCACCACTCTGGTGGGCGTGCGGCGTCGCGATCCCGCGCGTCGGCCGCAGGCCAGGGGCTTAGTCAGGCCGTCGCGCGCGACTCCTCTCGCGCGCCTTCGCGTCAGGCGACGTCGCCTGGGCGTCGCGAGGTGCGCTCCCCTCGAGTCGCTCCGAAGCGGCGCCCGAGCCCCGCTGCTGCGCAGCGGCCAGCCACGTCCCGCCATGGTGCGAGCTCGGGCGACGCCCACGCAGGCAGCTCCCGCGCGGACTCCGCTGCTCAGGCCCCTCCGTCTTCGGTTGGCACGCGCTCCTCCAGCGATGCTGTTGCGGCCCCGCAGGGCGGAGGGCGTGCCGCCGAGGAAAGGGGGTCTTCGAGCGGCCCCGCGCCTGGCCGAGATTCAGGGCACGAGCTGCATCCCAGCGGCTCCCACAGCGGCGACGCTGGGAGCGCCGCGGCTGCAGCCGTCGCAGCGCGGCGCACGGCCTCCGCGGCCGTTGAGCAGCCCTTGCCTCCAGGGGCCGCCACCGCCCTAGCGTGGCGTCTCAACCTCGGCGGTGAGAAGGTCACAGTGGTGAGGTGGGGGCCCGCTTGGCAAGCTGCCTTCCAGAGCGCGGCGTCGTGGCTGAGGTCTTTCGCACCCGCAGGGGCCGCCGAGCCCGAAGGCAGAGATGACCTGCACTGCACCTGCAGGCCTTGCACGCCTATAAGCGCCTGTTTCAGACAGGCGGCGCCGAGCCGATCGACGAAGCCTCGTGGTTGCATCCTTACGTGGCCGTCGTCGAACCCGAGGCTATCCCCGCGGACGCTGACCTCCAAGCCATGGGGGCGGGCGCCATCCGTGGCATCGGGCTCGGCTCAAAGATCGAGCACAGGCGGCGAGCGGGCAAGTTGGCCTGTCTTTTCGACCTTCTGTACCACGTGCAGGACGGTCGCGGCGCCATCCCAGCAGCGCTGTGGGGATCGCATTCCCCTCCGTCCGAGATCCTCGACGCCTTCGCGGAGGTGGTGCCCGTTCCACATCATTCGGGCCTCACGTCCTCGGCAGCTCGTTCCGAGCTCGCCGAATCGGCCGCAGCTGCGCGTGCCGAGCCGCGCCCGCCCTTTGACTGGGCGGCCCTCGAGGGAGGGGACGCTCTGCCCGCCGAGATCGAAGCAGGGGCTCGCCGTGCTTACCGTAACATGGGCGGATCCTTCAGCTCGGCGCGGGCGATGCTGGCGGAGGCGTCGGGGTTCGAGACCGACGGGCGGGACACCCTCGTTCCGCCCTTCTACGCGTCCAGGAGCAGGAGGGCCGCCACGCTGTTCAGCTCTCCCAGCCCTGGCCGCCCTGCGCTCATCCTGTGGTGCGTCTGCGGCCTCTGCATCTCTCTGGGAGCCGCGGCGCCGACCGCAGGCCAAGGGCGTAGTCGGGCTGCGCCTTCCGCGCCCGCTCGCCCTCCGCGCACTCCCTTCGTGCGCGATTCTCACCTCGCCTCCGCGTATCTCGATCGTCGCTCGAGATCGATTGATGCGTTCGAGCTGTGGTTAGCAGAACACACTGGCGTGCCACCCGCCACTCTTTACCGTAGCGGAATACTTCTCGCCCGTTTCCTCGCGACCTTCGGCGTGTGGCTTCATGATGCAGGTTTCCCTCATTATATTCTGGTCCATGCCATCTTGGGAATCCAGAGCCGTCATCCGCATTGGAAGGCCTTTCTGACAGAAGCTTGGGACGTAGCGAAACAATGGAAGCTCGCGGAGCCGCCAAAGCTCCGCCCCCCCTTACCACGCGCTCTGCTGCGCGCTATGGTCGGTCTCTGTCTCGCCTGGGACTGGCCTGTGATGGCGGCCTTGCTGCTCATGGGCTTCACGATGTTCCTCAGGCCTGGCGAACTGCTGGCGTCACGCCGCTGTGACTTGTCGCTTCCATGCGACCGCCTCGAAGTTGAAGGGGATGCTTTTCTCTCGATTCTTGTTCCAAAGACCAGGAGAACGTACCCGACGCAGCATGCTCGCTGCTCCGATCGGGGCACGGTGAAGATTCTGAATCAAGTGTTTGGGAGGTTGGCTTCCACCGATCCTCTCGCCCCTTTCGGTGCGAGCGGCTTCCGTACTCGGTGGAATCAACTGCTTTCGGCCCTGGGCGTCCCTCTTGCCAAAGCAGGTCAGGGGCTCAACCTGACGCCCGCATGTCTGCGGGGCTCTGGCGCAACAGACTTCTATATCGCTACGGAAGACGTCCCTCGCGTCTTCTGGCGCGGGCGTTGGCGTCAAGCTTCCAGTGCCGAGCGCTACCTGCAAGCCGCCGCCGCTTCCACAGTTCTTGCTGCGCTGCCCGAGCCCGCACGGGCGCGGATCTTGTTCTTCGCCACCGCCAGCGACCGCCTTGTCGCTTCGTTCCTCCAAGTCGGCCCCGCCGCTTGGCCTGCCCTACTTGCGGCCGCCCGCCGAAACCTTGTCACTTCGCAAGGTCCTTGAGCACGGGTATGGCTGCCTCGCCGACGTCGGCGAGCAGGCGGACTCCACCGCCTGACGCGCGGCGCCCCGGCTTGAGCGCGCGGGACGGGCCTGCCCATTTTGGGCCGCCCCGCGCGCGCACGCCGCGGCCGCGCTCGGAGACAGCTCGCTAGCGCGCGAGCGGGAGAATGCCTCTTCTATTCTCTGTGAGCAAGCTCCTGCTGTCTCCGCAGCTTCTCTGCCCCCCTCCCTCCTCTCCCACTCTAAGGCTGA